CCCCCCTGCCGTGTCCCGTGTCGCTCCTGGTGCCACCGTCCAGGACGGGAAGACGCGCACCCAGCGTGGGGGCGGGGCCGTGGTCCTGCCAGCCTCGCACCTGCTGTGGGGCCAGCTCAGACACTCGGGCACACACACACATGGACACTCGGACACTCGGACACACACACACACGGACACACACACACACACACGTGTGCCAAGGCAGTCCCTGCCCATCAGGCCTGAAGGCCGAAGCAGGAGCCCAGGGGCGGCTAGAGCTTCCTGACTGAGCGTGGCCAGAGCCCTCGGCACGGCCGACGGGAAGAACCTTGTTCAGATGCGGGAAGGGAGCTGGCGACTGCTCAAAGGCCAGGCTGTGCGTCGCCAGGCCGCGGGCTTCCCCGGCGAGCGCAGTGCAGCACAGCAGACCGGAGGCCCTGCGTCTGTGGTGTTCCGGCCTCCGATACGGAAATGGGCACGACCCCTTCTCCATCTGTGGGTGCGGCCGCTGGGCTGCACCCCCGATTCCACAGCTTTGCTGCAAACGCTACCCCCCCCCGCCCCCCCGCATCACCCTGCTAATTCAGAGGCCAGAAGCCCCGTGTGAGCACTTTAACGACAGCGCCCCCTGCCCCCTGAGGCAGAAGGGCAGGCTCGGGCCAGCGTCCCCCATGTCCCCCTCACCCTGCACACCCAGCCTGAGCCCTCCACACCCGTCCGAGAACTAGCCCGACGTGGGGAAAGGCAGGAGACCAAGGTGCACGAGGCAACAGGACAGCAGCGCTGACAGGAGAATCCCACCTCCAGGGCGTTTCTGTGGGCGCCCGCTCGTCCACACGCTCCTTCCCGCGGGAGGCGGCGGCCGCTCTCTCTCGGGGGAGCGTCTCCCTGGCTCAGTCCGAGTTATGGGTCCTAAACAATAAACACGCTCGGACCCAATGGAACGCCTAAGGCTTCCAACACCAGACGTCGACAGGGCCCCAGGGAGGACGTCCCCTGCGGAGGGTCCCTGACCCAGGACAGATGCCACAGGGGACGGAGGAGGAGACCTCCAGGAGCATCAGTCCCGTCCCTGCAAAGCCGGCACACAGCAGACCACCCAGACGCAACGACAGGCTGCCACCCTGGCCACGCTGCGGAGCTATGCCGTCTGGTGCTGGCAAACTCGCTCTTATTGGTCAGCAACCCCCTACAAGCGGCACCGGTGACCAGCCCGGCCCCCCACGCTCACACCTGGAGCTGCGAGGCCACGCCTGGGGTCCTCATCCCCACTCACCACCTGGCTGGCGAAGAGCAGAGGCAGAGGTCCATCAGCCCTCGAGGAGCCTGTCCTGGCATTTCCTAACGCCCGAGGGGTGTGTGCGTGACAGGTTCACGTGAGTGACAGGTGCACGTGAGTGACAGGTGCATGTGAGTGACAGGTGCACGTGAGTGACAGGTGAATGTGACAGGTGCACGTGAGTGACAGGTGCACGTGAGTGACAGGGCAGAACGAAGCCCGTGCTCTGAATGGACCCTGGGTCCTTGGAGTCCCACGCTCCCGTCCCTGGAAGCCGGTCCTACCTGCTCCGGGGGCCACGCGGGCCTCTCCTCGGGGGTCCTGCCCTTGGTCTTGAGGCCTC